AATTTACCCTACAGAAATACCTACATATTAAGAAAAATAAGTACATAGACAAGTGTTTGCTACAGAATTGTTAACCTTAGCAAAAGAGCAGAAATAACCTAAAACTTATTGTGACTAACTAAATAGCTATGATATATCAATACAGTACAATACTACACACACATGAAAAAGTCTGAGATAGAGCTGTAATGAAATAGAACATTGTCCAAGAATCAAGGTTAAATTAAAACCAGAAAACAAAAGGCTAGAATACTCCTAGAAGGAGAAACAAACCAATAACTGGTTATCTCTGGAAATTAAATTAGAAGTTTGAGATAAAACAATACCTCATCTTGAAAAAGGTTGGAATATTTTTATCATATGCATGTATGATTTGAATATTTTAAAAAGCCTGTTACTTAAAAATACAAAAAGAATATATTTTAAAATATACCTATATTTTAGAAGACAATTTACAACTATTTTCAGAATGTATTAAGAAACTCTTACAGAATAAAGCAGTTAATGCTTTCTTATACAGCTAATACAATCTGTTAAAAGCAAGCATAAAATTATTCTTCTCAAATTTTCTATATCATTAACTATTGTCCAATGAATATTTTCTTTCTATTTAGTGTTTCTAAATATCAACACATTTAAAAAGATACTACCTGTCCAGTAAAAGCTGCTCAGAGAGAATAACTTCCTTAACTGAACAAGTTCATTGGGTGATGTATCAAATTTCAGGGCTATGCTATTCAAAGAATCTCTTGCTTCAGCCTGTTTAAAAGAAAAAAAATATGTTGATGTGTTAAAAATAAAAAATATAAATTATAATATTTAGTAAGCATTATGTCTAGGGACTAACATTACATTTGATAAATAACTGGTATTTTCACCTTTGAAGATAACTGTCAAGAAATAATGTGTTTTGTTAGCAAATGATCTCAGTCTATTTTACATCAGATACAGCTTTATCACAATATACCACAATTACATGTGGGCCTCTACCTTAAGTAATTTCAAAACTCAAAATATAACTTTAAAAACTCAAACAGATGATTTTCCTTTTACAAGTGTTAAAAAATATGCTATCCTCTGAGTAGTTTCTAAAATGTGTGCAGCATCTAGAAATATACTAATTTTAGCAAAGTATATTTGTATTAAACTCAAAATACTACTTCTAATCATTTTTATGTATATATTCTGCCATTACAAGTATAAATTTTAAAAATATTTGAACCAATAGTGAGCAAACTATGTTTAGTATGTTTTCATGATCACATAGAAATTTTAAATGATAAGATTTTGCCAATTATCCTGAAAGAAAAAATGATTTGATCAGTTAATATATTCCTTTGGAGTCTTTTTATATAAGGTATTGAGAAAGCTCTAAAGAAAATACAACTAAGCGCAACCAAGTAGCTTTAGTGCATGAGAAACTTATAATCTAGGTGGAAAATAGGATAAACCAAAAAAGGTTATATACAAGTTGAAGAGCAATTTTAAATGGAACAATAAATGCACTATAAGTTTTGAACACGAATAAAGCATCACAAGCTCCAAGTAGTCCAGGAAGGACTTATAGAAAGAAGATAAATTATTTAAAGTCAGATCTTAAAGAAGGGGTAGAAATTTGAAAAGTAGAGAGAAGGGAAAAAAGTTTCAAAGTGAACTGACAAGAGAATAGAACTGACATGGTTAGGAGCAGAAAAGTACAAAAAATTTGTGGGAAACTGTCTCTTCCTCCTAAATCATCTGAAGTAAACTCATGAAGCACAGATTTTTACAAAAGTGACAGATGATCATTAAATCTCTAAAAAGGATGGGGTTAAAAAGGCATTTATAATTAGGTTATATAACACTATGAAAGTAAGAAAAAGCGGTGAGTGTGTGTGCGTGTGTGTAAAAAAACAACTAATATAAATATTTTCTTTAATGGTTTTGTAAAACCCAAATTCATGCCAAATACTTGCTTTCTTCTTCTATGCAAACATCCCCATCTACACAATATGCTGCTATCTAACCTACCTTATTGAGATAATACGTATCGAAGCTTTCTGCAAACAACTGTTATCTTGCAGTATCATCTGTAAGTTTACAAAGGACCTTCAAATTAATAACATTTTATCTTCACAATGATACTATTAAATGGAATGATTGATGTAATTAACACCAGTAGTCATAATGCAAGGGAGTTATATAGTCGAAATGGCAACTTATATTACTGGCAATGGGTCTAGGATTAATGGGACAAGAGAAAGAATATACAAAAACCAATGTAATGCTATTGCAGTAGATTAGGTTTAAAGTAATAAAAATGTAAAGCAATTGAGACCTATGACTTTCAACTAAGACTCAAGAGAAAACACTAATGGATTGAATAGAGTTGTGGTGATAGTAGTAGTAATAGATAGGGAAGCAAATGTGAATGAACAATTGATATTGACTCTAAAACAGTGCAACCTGAATGAATAACAGACTACAAATAGGGAAATGGAAATAAGAAAATCTGTCTCTGTAGAAAGATGGAGGAAGAACAGTTGGCAAGAGGTTTGCTATAATTTGTTAAATATGAAGCAATAGTAGGAAATGTATGCAGCTAGAAAAGTGGGAATAGAAAAAAAATTGGGTCTCACACCACATAGTTTATATAGTAAAGTTCTTAAACTCTCCAAGAAATGGAATGTTAATGGAAAAATGAAAAGAAACAAGGGTCCACTCACATTTACAATTAGGAAGAGGTGAATAGCCATCAAAGCAGATGGAAGATACAATCAAAATATAGCAAGAATGCCAAGGTAATGAAGCATAATGATGATAAAATGCAATACATTTAGTTTCAAGAATGAATTAGGGTTCTGGAAAAATAGAAAAATGAGAAGATACTGCCAAAGATAATAGACGAAATTTTTTCCCAGAATTTATACTTGATATAATTTTTTAGACTGAAGAAACACAATAAGCAAGATAAAAACATCTAAATCAAGACTTATCATAATGACATTGCAGAACCGTAAAGACAAAGAAGAAACTTTGTAAGCCACCTAAAAAACAAAGATTGCCTAGAAATGAACAAAAATAAAAAGACAACAGAAGAACACAAGACAAAGGATTACTATCTTCAAATACTGACAGAAGATAACTGTCAACCTAGAAATATGTAAACAGCTAAGCTATCAGGAATGAAGGTGCAATAAGGATTTTGAGACACTGCCTGATTTTCCAGTCACAGACTGGAAGTGAAAACTGGAAAACTACCGTAGAGACTCAAGAAGGAAAGTAAGACCAGAAAAAAGAAATGATAAGCATGAAACAACAACAAAAGTCCACTGGGTTTGATAATTAGTAAAGTATTAGCGACCATAATGAAGGCTTTTCAGCTGAAAAAAACAGGGATATTAAGTTAACAAGAAACAAAATGGAACCTTTTCAAGGTCTATTTTAAATTCTCACTAAGAATAATTTTACTTTGATTTTATAATTAAAACAGTATGACTGTGTGTGTGCGTGCACGCGCGTGGATAGTATACGTATGTATGATTTTCAAGTTTATGTCTATCTAATGTACCGTGACTAATTTTTTTTGATATTACAGTGAGGTGGTCTAAAAATGTATTTAAAGTGAGACCATAAATATTTTAGAAGAAATAAATTTGGAGAGTACACTGCAATTTAAAACTTTTATTTTAAAATATAAATACAGAGAAATATTCTCAAATCAGGCATGAGAAAAAAGAAAAATATAGGGAAATATATACTTTCCTAGATACAAAAAGAGATTTTATATAAAGATGCTAAATGAAGATTTTTATAGATTTTAGATAAGGATTTTATAGATTATAGTAAGTATAGAGTATGACAATATCTTAGTTTTAAAAATATTTTTTTCTCTTAGAATTTGGCATATAAGAGTTTAAAATGTAAGGACTAAGACTTACTAGAAGATGTTATATAATTTATAAAATTAGAAGAAAAAATTTCAAGTTTCAGTTAACATTCACACAAAAATAATGGTTCTGAATTTAAAATTTAATTTTGCTACAGGTATCAAAAGTTTTACTGAACTACAAGCAAAGAGGGAAAATTCCTGATTCAAAAAAATCAACAAAACTTTATAATTCTTCACAATCACATGATTACACATGTAGATACATACCATACACCTGTGAACTTATACTTAATAAACACTAATAAAGATATCAAATTATATTACCCAATATTTTACTGTTTGAATTTATTTTCTCGATTTCTCATTTATGCAAGGTACAAACACACACAATTTGAGTAGCATAGTATTACATGAGATTCTTTAGACAGTAGTACATTTAATTCTATTCTAAATTATCTGGTGCCTTATCTTTTAAAAATATTTGAAATCTCAAACTGTCAATTATACAGAATATGAAAATAGAGTATAACTCAAAATTTTGATATCTTGTTCAATTTTAAGAATTCATGAAAGATAACCAAGATTCAAATCTGTAAAAGTTTCATGACATAAATGTTAAATTAATATTTTAAATTGCTATTTTCTCCATAATACAGTTATGACAGAAAAATACAAAATAATAATAAAATTAAGCTCAGTTAAAACTGCTTTATAACATGTTAACAGTATCTAAATAAATAATATTTACATTAAATCAAAAAAGCAGCATACCACACACCAAAGTTGATTTATCACTTCAGTTTCCCAGAATAACCAAGAATGTAAAAAGCAGCTAACTGCAGGAAGATTTGAGGGTCATTTCAAGAACACAGAAAAAAAAACTCCATTTTCAGAGCAAAAGAAACTTGGCTATAAATGAATTCAAATGATATATTATGAGAAGTTATTCTGGAAGATTAATATCAACTTGTTATTTAAGTATTCTTTTCCCATTATCACTAACATTAGCACTGCTAGAAATATAATGAAGATCACATTTCTTAGAAAACATTTTCCCAAAACGCCGCCGGGATTTCTTCACCCGGCCCTTCCCTACCTCTGGGCGAGGGACCCGAGATCCCTTCTGCACGCTCGGCTTCGCGGTGTCGCGGCGGGCGCCGACGTGTCCGAAGCGATTCTGGTACCATCTTGAAATTGGCGGAGGGAAGCAGGACGAGAGAGACGCACTCATCGGCGAGGAAGGCAGGCCCCGTCCGGGGATCTTGGAAACCCTGCGGACCATCATGAAGTTCCAGTATCAGGAGGACCATCCCTTCGAATATCGGAAAAAGGAAGGAGAAAAGATCCGGAAGGAATATCCGGACAGGGTCCCTGTGATCGTGGAGAAGGCTCCGAGAGCCAGGGTGCCTGATCTGGACAAGCGGAAGTACCTAGTGCCCTCTGACCTCCCTGTTGGCCAGTTCGACTTCTTAATCCGGAAGAGGAGCCACCTGAGACCTGAGGACGCCTTATTTTTCTTTGTCAACAACACTACCCCTCCCACTAGTGCTGCGATGGGCCAGCTGTATGAGGACAACCATGAGGAAGACTATTTTCTGCATGTGGCCTACAGTGATGAGAGTCTATGGGAAGTGATTGGTGGAAGCCCAGCAGATGGGAGCACCTGGACTTGGGGGTAGGGGAGGGGTGTGTGTGGGACTTGGGGAAAGAGGGGGAGGCTCCCACCATGGAAGAGACAGAAGGTGAAGACGTTGAAAACATTACACCGCACACACTGTCATCACATTTTCACATGCTCAATCGATATTTTTTGCTGCTTCCTCGGCCCAGGGATAAAGCATGTCAGGACAGAGCTGTTGGATTGGCTTTGATAGAGGAAGGAGAATGACATAATTTCACAGCATTCCTGAGAATGAATTTTTGTATGATTTCATACAGGGATAAGGTGGTGGGCAACTTGGAGCCAGAGATGACTGCAGTCCAACAGCAACTCCCTGCTCTTCCTGTCATTGAAGCATTGTGCCCTGGTCTCCCCTGTCTCCCTCCCATCCCATTCAGTCTCACACACAAATGTCACAGTACCACCCCCAGGGGTGGTAATAGACATGGACACAGAAGTTTAGCTTTCTTATCTTTGGAAAATGGGGATCAGGCACTAAGGCAGGTATGATTTCAAAGATAGTTTTAATAGCATTAAACTGGAATTGATGGAGTGTTGACCTGTTGTCTCTCTCTCTGCCCCTTATTCCACACCTACCTTGAATTTAATGAGCCTCAGGCATTTCCAGTTACAGACTGAAACCACTCTTCTGGCATTTTCCATGTGTCTGGACAGAGATGTCTTAGGTAGGGAAGGGGCAGGTATGAAGTCAGATAGATAATCCACACCTCCCACTCATCCAGAATCTCACTCCTATGCTGCCTCCCTGCAGTCTCACATGCACAGGAATGCTACTTGATGGCCAGTTACTTCCCTCCTCGGTTATCATCTGCTGCAGCTGCTAGGTAGAACAGTTTGGAGGGATACTTTTAGTAATTCATGGGGATTTTACTGATTTATTTTCACTTTTGGGTTTCTATGGGGTGGGAGTGGGGAACAGGAATTACACTCAGACATGACATTTCAATTCATTTCTGCTAATGGAAATGTCCTTGGGAGAAATCTGTGTGTCAGTTCTGTCAGCTGCAGGTTCTTGTATAATGAAGTCAATGCCATCAGGTCAAGGAAATAAAATAATTGCTTACTTTAAAATTTAAAAAAAAAAAAAGAAAATACTTTCCTAAAAGCTTAATCTAATAAAAATTATTGAACCATAGGAATTTTGACTCCCAATAAATTATCATCTATATT